ACGAAATTTGTGACGGATTTTTAGAGACAGAATAGATTCTGTCACAAAATCCGTCACAAAATTCAATGAATTCTAGTCCGTCACAAAACTTAAAATTCCCTCACAAAATGCGTCACTATTAGCGATGCTATTTTTTCCGTCACAAAATTCGTCACAAATATTAATTTTTCTAGTAGTGATACATCTCATCAGTTATACAGCATAATCAACAATAAACACAAAATGCGTCGTCACACATATCAGCTCGGAGATCTCCTACAACAGCTCAGCCTTACGGCCTACAACAGCTTATATCAGCATACAACACACCATAGCTTACAGCACAGCTTACAGCACAACATATCATCTTACAGCACATCTAAATAACTTACAACAATATACATTCCAGTACAGCTTAATATCATGATTCAACATCATCAACTATTAGCACGACATATTCATCAATTTCAGCTCATACTCAGCATAAAACATCATCCAGCAACATATAGTAAAATCTCATCTTCGCGCCCGGCACACTCATGGTTGCGCCCAGCGTGGTACAACCAGAGGGCACCAGGAGGTCGTCGCGCCCGGTGCAAGCGTCTCCACGCCCAGCGGGACCCAGCCAGAGAGCCCAAGGCTCACACGCACCTAGAACAATACCAAATTGCGCCCAGCGCATCCCAGGCAGAGACTCTAAGGAGTCTCACACGCCCGGTGTGCCCAAACCCGCGCTCAGCGCGGGGAGGGCAGAGACCTCCCCAAGGTCTCGCGCCTAGCGCAATTCAAATTGTGCCCAGCGCCCTCAAGGCAGAGACTCCCAAGGAGTCTCACGCCCAGCACGACAAAGCACTACAAGAATTTTGCAGATTAGCGAGGGATATAATTCCTCTCTAATCCCTTGCTAATTAGCGAGCAAATAACTTGGATTTATATCCCTAGCTAAATTCCCTCGCTATTTTGCGACCAACCTTTGTCTCCTCGCAAATCCTTCGCTAAAGTTAGTGCTTCCTTAGCGAGAAACTTAGTCCCTCGCAAATGCCTTGCAAATCCCTCCCCAAATTATGGGCCAAAAAAAAAAAAAAAATTCATCTTGCGAGGGAGTTTTCTTGCCGCAAATTCCTCGCTAATGAGTTATAAGTATATCCCTCAAATCCCTCTATAAATCTCCTATAATAACTAGCTAACCTAAGGAAACTCCTAACCTCACTAACTAAATTAGGAATCTCCCACTTGAGTACAACTTCTACCTTAAATGGATTTACTGTTATACCTCCACTAGATATCATATGACCTAAAAAGTTCATCTCATCTAACCAAAAATCACACTTAGAAAACTTAGCATAAAGTTTTCTATCCCTAAGAGTTTGAAGTACTACCTTCAAGTATTCCACATGTTCATCTCTAGTCTTGGAATAAACTAGTATGTCATCTATAAAGACAACTACGAATTTATCCAAGTACAGATGAAAAATTTGATTCATATAATTCATAAAAATAGTTGGAACATTTGTCACACCAAAAGACATTACTAAATACTCATAGAGCCCACAATGTCTCCTAAAAGCTATCTTGGGTATATCCTCACCCTTTATTCTAATCCAATGATATTCCAACCTAAGGTTAGTCTTGCTAAACACACAAGCACCCGCTAATTGATCCACAAGATCATCTATCCTCACATCAACATACATGCATATCAAATCATGTTAGAATACTTGTTCAAACATTCATATATACCATCCCCAAACATATATGAATCAATCACCATTTACACCATATAACATGTATATGAACCAACTTTACAACATAGCAATGTACAACTTTAAACAATTTTTCAATCCACGTGATAACACCTAATTAGAACATCATAACAAAATCAGTTTTCATCATTGCATTGCATAACAACTCAAAAGCATCATGACAACATACATCTCCCTTCAAAAACTGTTAAAGAAAACAACACACACAGAGCTATATTCATCCAAATAAGCTCACACCTATCTCAAAATAAAGATAAGAGAATAAGATATAACTCTTATGTAGACATGAAATCCTAAAAAGATCATCTACTTAGCTAAAAATTTCAAAAACCGCAGCAAATATAATCAGCGTTGACAGCTTGACCTCTGTTTACTAAAATAACCATAGCTAGAGTTCTAGACCTTCATTTTAAATTCTTTTAGTGCCGTTGGAAAGATAACATCCAAGGCTACAACTTTTATGAAGACTACAAAAGCTAATTCTGTCAATAAAGCACTCTTACTAGCACGACAAAACTGCAGCGAAAAACAACCCCTGCACCAAACAACAAAAGAGTGTACAAATGTCTTAGGCCACGAAAATGGCTTAAAACACTTCCAAACTCACTCCTTTCCACCACAAACTCATATCCAATCTTCCCACTACAATCTTAAACCAAAGCAACTCATATATGCAACACAAAAGACTCAAAGGTTGAAATGAAACCCACATGTAACCCAAACTCGAAACTATATATGTAAGTCAACAAAACATCCATAAATTCTTTAAACAAAACCAACCCCTTTCTCAATTCCTAATACTAATTAGACCTGCAATTCCACAAAACAACCACATACAATACAAAAACTAGTCTTTGGACACTTCAAAACATCCGAAATCAACATGTGCCACAAATAAGATCAAAACATCCCATTTTTGCACCCAACCACAAAAGCAACTCGAATATTCAACGGATGAACCTCAAATCTAGATTCTTCAAAATCTTGCTTTCCCTCAAAAACAGCAAGGAACACAAGAATCTCATGCTCAAAATCAATAGTCATACATCAAATAAATAAGACAATTTATTCAAATCATCATTTCAATCACATCATCAAACACTACACAAACATAACAGACTCATAACTCACGGTCGAATGGATCAACCTTCTCTAATGCCACTAAATGTGACACTCAATCTACCCCAACATATAACAATAGAATAAAAAGAGAAAATTATTAATAATTCTGAGTAAAACAGTTCACATATGAAACACTTTCAAACATCCAACCAATTTGAAACAAAAATTAAAAAATATAACTTTACAATTATGACTAACAAGAACAATAAAATCCAAATAAAATAAGATTTTCATTCTGAGTCTCTTGCCTCAATGTCACACTATCAAAGCAACCCTTAACTTTAACTGCCGGCACCTTAAGTGCCAGCCACATCTAGTTCATCCTCGCATAAAATGACCACAGATAGTACAATGAGAAATTAATCTTCCATGTAAGACTTGGATCTGTCAGCAACAATGCTTAGTAGCGTTTGAGATACTAACTTTTTTTTCCCAAATAGTATTGTGAAAGACATTGAGAACATGGTTCGCTCCTACATTGAGAAGGTAGAGTTTCAATGATTATTGTAATTAACTTTGCTTGTAATTATCTAGTAATTTGGTATTTATTATTTTAGTTCAATAATTAACTTTATATTCATTAGGAAAAAACTGATGTGTAGTTGAAATTTGAAAACAGATGGCATTGTTGTTGCAACGGTTGATGTGATTCATATCACTCGTGTGGCAGTGGCGACAGCTAGTCAGGTATGCTTCTTGAACTATGTTTATACCCACTACTTTTGACTGCATTTTTTGTTATCACATGTAAAAATGAAATGAAATTTTATGTGTGTTTCTGATATTGCCTATTGGCTTACCTGAATGATAATAGAGGGTGCTTCTTTTTCTGTACTGAGTGATAATTAATTCATTGTTTAAGGTACAATGAATTTATTATTTTTGCTTGCCACAATTTTGTTATTTTATTTTTCATTACCGAATATGATGCCATATTAGCTTTGGGGATCTCAAGTATTATTCTATGATTTCCTATCAACTCTGGGAAGAAAATCAATGCATATATAAGGGTGCCAGCTACCAAGAGTTTATGAATAATTCACCAATATCATTAAAGGCCTCTTCCAGAACTAAGTTTTTTCTGTCCTGTCCTCACATATCTATGTATCTGAGGTTGATCAATTTCGACAACCCATATTTGGCTGCATATATATTTCCTGAGAAAGGTGTTTAATTCCTAGCACATGAAGCAAACACAAACAGGTTAAGAAAAACAAATTACAAATCCATTGAATTGGTTTGAAATTTGAATCCACTAAAAAAAATGGCAAGTAGTGCCAACCTCAGAGTTCTACTCAGAGTTCTAGTTCTTCTGCATCCACCAGTGTTACTGCAAGTAACACTATTTCTCACACCTCAAGCTAAGCAATGTGAATGAATCCCTCATTATTACTCCTTTTTATCTCAAAATTTTCAACCGATCATCATTACTCAAGGAGGTTCTCAAATATTCCAACTTGTTGTTTATGTTTGTGTTAGGTAATATGTAACAATTCAAAAGAAAAAAAAATGAATAGATACAATACAAATGGAGTTTTTTATAAAATAGCCAGGTACCTTTAAAATAGTGATTACCTATATTTTTTTTAAAAAAAATATGAGAGTAGTTATTGCGCAAGCATGATTCTATCAAAATGTTTAGTCGTATTATACTTGAAAAAATTTCTATATGATGTATGAGTATATGATGATTATCAGCATGTCATAGTGTTATAAAATATAAAGTTTTACTTTTTCAACCAATTAGATATTATTATTAATTTATTTATTATTTAAAAATCTAACATAAAGTTTGTAGTTAGTTAACAGGATATATAAAACTAATTTGTATTGTCATCACATCACATGTTTTCTATTTAGTTTATATGTAAGAATTCACATATTCTAAGAACCACACTAATTTAATCAAATAATTGATTAGTACTGTAGTAACTAGTAACAGTAACCATCCAATGATAAAAGAAATGTAAAACCATATTTTCTGCATAACATGTGTACTACATATATAATATTGTTTAATTTTGCGTACGTTTTAAGTCTTCTTATTTAAGACTTGATTTTTTTTCTTCTCAAACGCATTATACCTACTAGCTAGTCTAGGAATATGTTTCAATTAGTTTGCACTATAAAGCAAATATTGCGAGCGAATAGCGAGAGAATTGCTAGGGAAATATTGCGAGGGAATAGCGAGACAATTGCTAGGGAAATATTGCGAGGGAATAGCGAGAGAATTGCTAGGGAAATATTGCGAGGGAATAGCGAGAGAATTGCTAGGGAAATATTGCGAGGGAATAGCGAGAAAATTGCTAGGGAAATATTGCGAGGGAATAGCGAGAGAATTGCTAGGGAAATATTGCGAGGGAATAGCGAGAAAATTGCTAGGGAAATATTGCGAGGGAATAGCGAGAAAATTGCTAGGGAAATATTGCGAGGGAATAGCGAGAGAATTGCTAGGGAAATATTGCGAGGGAATAGAGAAGGGTCTGCGAGGGATATTCAGCGAGGGAATTGCAAGGCCTTAGCTAAGAAATGTAGCAAGGGAATGGAGAGGGGTTTGTGAGGGAACATTAGCGAGGGATTAGCTACAAATTAGAGAGGGATATTTTGCGACCCCTTAGCGAGGGAATAGCGGGGAAGCTTGATCGCAAATTAGCGAGCAAATAGTAAGCATCCTTAATATAATTAGCGAGGACCTTAGCGAGGGATTGGCAACAGATTTTGCGAGGGATTGGCGACAGATTTTGCGAGGGATTGGCGACGGATTAAATCCCTAGCTAATTAGCTACCTGTATTTAGCGAGGGAATGGTCTCTCGCAATTTCATCACTATTCTGTCGCAAAACTGATTAGCGAGAGATTAGAGAGGAAAGAGCGAGGGAATAGTCCCTCGCTAATATGTAATTTTCTTGTAGTGAAGGTCGCGCTTAGCGCAGAACCAAAGAAACCAAAACATGCTACAACTGGTATCGCGTCCAGCGCGGTCCAAGTCACGCCCAGCGTGGACCAACCAGAGACCCACATTCGCAAGCGCGCCTGACGCACCCATCATTGCGCCTGGCGGGCTTGCCCGAATGGAGTCCCCTGGTGGCCACGCGCCTGACGCGAAGAACGGCGCTCAGCGCGAAGCCCAGCAGCAACCTTCCAAGTTCGAAAATCTTGCCCAAAACCTGCAAAAATCAACAGAAACTCCACATGCAACCCATCCAAAGTACCACATTCTCATCAAACGTTTCAAAAACACAATCTTTTCCAGCATGCATCCATTCAAAATCAAAAACCCAAATTTCACCCAAAAACCCCGAAAACAAGTTTTCTTCCATCTTAGCCAGAAATCATCAACCAACAGTCCGCAAATGAGTTCCTAGGACTCATTCTCAACCAGAAAACCGCAAAAGAGCTAGCTTGCCTTACCTCGGTGAAGAATCCGAGCTTCCGGGAAGAGACAATGAAGAAGGAGAAGAAATGGAGCTTTAACGGATGAGAAAGGAGAACGAAGAAATCCGCACACCAGCTAGTAATCCAAATTACTGAGCACCACCACCTTGTAACAGCCAAGGATCCAAGAGAAAGAGTGAGTAAGAAGAGTGAAAGAGAGTTGAGTGAGGGTTAGGGTGAGAAAAGGAAAAAGGAACAAGGAAAAAGGGGTCTCACATGCTGATCATAAATTTTATTTTTATACAACTTTGGTAGGATATTTTGTCTCGAATATGATTTAAAATTTTCAAGTTGTGTGTTGTTTAACGTCTTTTAGATTTGACGTCTTAGCGGCTTCATTCTACGATACTTCACACGATAACACTTTACGTAACTCCTCGTTGGTCAGAACCCTTCATCGGTGGTTAGAATCCTTCGTGGATAGCCCTTTTTGAGATGTTCGTCTGTTTTTAGGATCAATGACTGACCTTACAAACCAACACAAGACTTTTTAGCGTACTTTGTCCTCACACGCTTTTTTGGAAACTTTTCATAAAGTTATTAATCCTTAAATTACTCCAAGTCAAACATATCTAATTGTGAAATTCTTTTGGAATGTGCTATCATGAAAAGTAGATGCATTTTGTTGGTATAATTCATACAAATCAATTCCTTTAAGTCATCTTTAACTATACAATCTTATACTTATATAAACTTTGGATTCCTCTTATTTCGATATGTCCGGACTGCTACACGCTACTTTCAAAATATGATCATTTTGTGTCAAGAATTATATATGTTTTTGTTGTTCTGTATTGCTCTAAATAATAATAATAAAAAAGCAATCTATAAGAAATTATATATATAGTGATCGGCTCTTGTATATAAATATAAATAATTGACAAAATATCAAACGTAAATTTCCCAATGAAACTTTTAGATTAATAATTTAAATTAGAGGGAGATGCATTATCATTACGTGATATTATAGTTAACTTGCATGAACAATTTTGTTGAGATTATTTTTACTATAGATGTGTAGAAAAAGAATATTAGTAACAACATACTGATCGTTTTAAATTTGAAATTAGTAACGATGTATCATTTATCAACATTCTTATATTTCAAAAATCTTATTAGCACTCATCATTTTATTTAATTTTTCTTTCTAAAAAATCATATGGTATATCACTTAAGTGGCAAGTGTTTTATATCGGAAAGGGAATCATGAATAAGGTAATGATACAAGTGAATACGTAATTTTATTTATTTATTAGGTAAAGTGTGAATACGTAATTGACATAGTCTCTTGGAAAGACCACGTTTCTTAAACAATAGTTGATGAGGAGAAAAAATTAAAAAAAGTGATCAGGAGATTTTGAACTCTTACGTGTTAAAAAAAGTCAAAATAAGTTTGCCTTTCTCAATTTTAAATACTCGATTGAGTGTGATTGGAAACCATAATAATATTAATTTTCATTTTGGTTTAGATATTTTGTGTTTAAAATTTTTATTTACTTTCTATTAAAATTTTATTTATTTCCATTTTATCTAAAAGCAAAATGTTATTAAAGTATCTACATTTTCATGATTCTTTTACCCCGTAGGCAATACTCACAATTACTTTACTATTATAAATTAAGTTAATCTGATTACTCTCATTTCATTATATCTTAAACAACGGAAAATGAAGTATATTATTTGAGTTAATCACCTATACATTATTTGTATATAAAGTTTTTTTCATTATTTGTATATAAAGTTTTTTTTACATTGACAACCAATTATATCTTTTAATTGTGCTATGTCACTGTAAACACATTTACTTTTAACAGTGACATGACACAATTAAAAGATATAATTAATTGTCAGTGTAAATTTATTTTACACGAGCAGTGTATAAATAATTAACTCATATTGTTTTAAGCATGATATTAGGTGTGAAGTGTATCGTTTTTTTTAAAATTTTTAATATTCATGTCATTTTCATTATTTTTTAAACAAAGAAACTGAAGTGTGTTGTTTTAGGCATGATATTAGGCATGAAGTGTATTGTTTTCCCTAATATTTTCATGTCATTTCATTACTTTTTAAACAATAAAAAATAAAGTATATTGTTTTAGGCATGATTTTAGGCATGAAATGTATTGTTTTCCTTACGAACTATAAAAAGAAAACTATTTTAAGGATATTAAAATAAGAAAACAAATCATATTTTAAAAATAAAAATATATTTAACCCAAATCATTTTTGGCATACATTTGCGCAAAAGAATAGTAGTTATTATTAATATTGGTTGTCATAAATAATAACAATTTGTATTTTTTAATTAAATTGTTCATGATTCCTGACCTTAATAAACTATATGAAAAAAGGAATATTTATTTTTTCGTGTACGTTCATATAGTTCCCAATAAAAATTAGTCACTATTTCGTATAATAAATATTTCATTTTAATATCATTATTAAGAAAAAGTTAATGGTTCTTTGATCACTTATAAAACATAGATCATACATGCATGAACAATTTCTCAATTTAAGGATGTGATGGCCCACTTAAAAAATGTAGCAAATTAAAGACCCAAGAAGGCACAATATTGGGTGAATGTCAAGTCAAAAGCAAACCACAAAAGACTTTCAAAACTTTTCAAATTAATAGAGGTGTGTGGTCCATCCCATCAGCATTTCTCCTTGCTCCCTAAGCAAATGGACTAACAAGGTGCCTCTTGTCTTACCAAATTATGATATAAATATATCTATCAATTATATCACTCACACAACAACAATATTCATTTCAGCTTTGCACACATAAACAGAATTGTCCCTTGAGTTGCTTCAATTCCTTAGAAAGAAGAACTACTACTACAATACCTAAACATACTTTATAGCTGAAACCCACCAAGAAAATTTAGAACACTTACCATAATATGGCTTTGAATTTGATGTCAGTCTTCTTCAATTGCTTCACCGCATCTTCATCAAGTCAAGTCTCTGATTATTCTGAAGGATCTAAACCAAAATCTCCTTCTTCAGAGAAACCAAAATCAAAGGGAGCTCCACTGGTTGTTAATTATTTCCCACTCAATCATTATCATTCACTCTTGTAGTTCATATTAATCTGTATCTTGTTTACGTTATCAGTTCTACTTCTATTCTATGCTTCTTGAGGCCGAAGGACTAAGCATTCCAAACACATATAGGTTGAGCAGTGTAAACAGGACGTCTTTTGTGTTTATTGTAAGATTGGTGTAGCAATTATTATATAGATATCATTTTTCTTGTCAAAATTAGTAGAATTCCCGGGGCTAATATAAATTGAACATGGATCGAGACTTTGATTTGTTCTGAGAATGAGATTTGTTCTAAGAGAAGTTTTAGCATGATGCATGAACAAGGCGCTACATGACGGTCCCATATAAGTTAATTGAGTATCTATGCTTATATAAATTGAGGCTACTATCAGGAAACAAAATTATTATGATACTCCTGGAACACGTATCCTAGAAGTTTCTATCAGGACGGATACGTGTTTGATATGATATGGGACAAAAATAGACATATTGGTGCATTAGAGGGTTCGAAGATGATTCAGACAAAAGTTGGTGCATTTATAATAATTCGAACATATTAAAATGAGAGAAATATAGAGATTTATATAAGTGTGAGATGATATAATTGAAAATGACTTAAAGAAATTAATTCGTACTACCTATACTAACAAAGTACATCTATTTTTTGATAACTCATCAACAAATGAACTTCATAAATAAGTGTGTTTGGCTTGAAGTAATTTAGAGATGAGTGACTTTTTGAAAAGTTTTCTAGAAAACATGCAAATAAAAAAAACACGTTGAAAAGTCTTTTATTGATTTGTGAGATTAATTATTGATCCTAAAAATGGACGGACATTTTAGAAATGATTATCCACAAAACGTTCTGACTGGTGAAAGGTTATGACTAGCGAGTTGTATAAATTGTCATCATGTGAATGTCGTGGAATGAAATTCTTGAAATCTCAACTATGAGGAGTATTACAAATATTACATATACAACAAAAATTGTACAACTAATGTAATATTAATTTTGTGTCGATCTCTCTTTGCCACTTTATTTACATGTACAAGGAAAATTTTACATGATGTTTGTACAATTTTATTATATATTTAGCATTTCTCCCGATTTGTGAAGCACATATACATGGGTTTTAATCTCATATCAGTACTGGATACGTATGTGTAACACCCTATTTTCAAAAATACTATTTTCGTTATATTATATGATATTTGGTCAAAATTAATTTTATTATTATAGGGGAATATTATTTATTTTATTTATTTAACTATTTTGGGGGAAAAGAGACGCAGGTCGAAAAGAGAAGTGGGTTGGGTTGACTTGGTCTAGTGAATTATTTTAAGAAAGGTGTGAGATAGAGTTAACTCTACTTGACTTATTTTGTATTCTGAAGGTTTAGAAGAAAAGAAGGAAGCTTTGAGGAGGAGTGCTCAAGCTCAATCCCAAACTGCATCATAATTGTTCTGATTAAAGATGGCAAAATGGGCCATGGCCTATGAGCCGACCCGTTGGCCCGCCAATTTTTGGTGAGTCAGGCCCATCATTCTAACCAGTCAAGCCCGCCTCACCAAGCCCACAAACTCACCAGGCCAAATGACGGGCTGACCCGTCACAACCTGCCAGCCCGCATTTGAGGTTCCAGTTAAAAAATAGTAATTTATAAGTTTATAATTTAATTTTGTTGTAAGTGGACTAATTTTTATTTGATTTTATTGTAAGTTTGTAATTTACTTTTTGTTGAACATATATTATGCACAATATGTATGCATTTTCAATTTCATGTGGTTATATTTATTTATATGTAGTAGTTTTTTATTTGAACATAAGATACATTTTTTTTTGCAATTTTTTAGTGGTATGTGGGTTGGCCTATATATCGGCCCACTAGCCCACCCTTAGGCAGGGTGAGCCAACATTCCCAACCCATTTTTCAATGGTGGGCCGACCCAACTCGTTTTTGGCGGGTTGGCCCGTTTTGCCACCCCTAGTTCTGATCAAATTATAAATGTGGTTGTTATATTTTTTGGTAAAATTGATGATCTAGATGATAATTAAATTCATTGGGATGTACTATGTAAGTTAGGGTTCTTGTAGATTGATGAACACCCTTAATTATATGAATTAATAAGTAATTGGGAGATTTTACTTATGGATGTACCTCAGTATTTTTTTAATATCTTACTGTGTGAGTAACCAAATCATTTCCGTTTATTGGGTTAGAAAGTAGACACTTGGGTTTATAATTTAGACTCTAGAATCGTGTAAAAATGTTAAGAATTGATTGAGTTATACGAGTTATAAGTTCAGTCTCCATTCTAGTGCGCCAAATATTAAGTTTTGTGTTGTCAGCCATGCGATCGAGGTGACCTTAACGACATTTTTAGGCTTCGTGTTCTTCACAAACGTTGTAGCCTTGGGTGTTATCATTCCAATGGCCTTGGAATCACTCAAAACGAATGTGTATAACTCAAGTTATGGTCAAAATAGTGAGTAGAGGTCAAGTTGTTAGGATTTACGGTGCCCGGTGCAGGTATTCTATTTCATTTTGCATTTTTGACGTTTTGGGACCCCTTTTTGACATGTTTGTGTGCAATGCATTTGCATGGATGATAATGAGAATGATGTGGTAGAATGGTATAACCATTAATTGACGCATATGCATTACCCTGACCTGTGTGATGTATAATAAGGAATGTATAATATATAGGTATAACCGCCTTGACCTTTGTGGCGATTAACACGGTAGTGCATTACTTTGGATTGTGTGGTGTATAACAAGGAATGCATGCTATACTTATATACCCATTGGCTTGTGTGGTGTATAATAGTGGGCAAGTGCAAGGTAGTACCTGAGGGGATTAATAAGGTTCACCCATTGTGTGACACTCCGAGTCAATGCTCCTTAGGAGGTTGTGGTGCATGAGCATTGGTGTGAGTTTGTTCATGGTGAATATTTATATTGTGATGTGGTGATTGGATGGGATAGGTTTGGAATAATATTATGACTTGAGATTGACTGATATATTTAATTATATTTATTTATGGAATGAGTTGTAATATGGAATTCTTTCTTATAACTTGTATGTGAACACTTGTTTTTCTCATTGTACTATCTGTGGTCATTTTATGCGAGGATGAACTAGATGTGGCTGGCACTTAAGGTGCCGGCAGTTAAAGTTAAGGGTTGCTTTGATAGTGTGACATTGAGGCAAGAGACTCAGAATGAAAATCTTATTTTATTTGGATTTTATTGTTCTTGTTAGTCATAATTGTAAAGTTATATTTTTTAATTTTTGTTTCAAATTGGTTGGATGTTTGAAAGTGTTTCATATGTGAACTGTTTTACTCAGAATTATTAATAATTTTCTCTTTTTATTCTATTGTTATATGTTGGGGTAGATTGAGTGTCACATTTAGTGGCATTAGAGAAGGTTGATCCATTCGACCGTGAGTTATGAGTCTGTTATGTTTGTGTAGTGTTTGATGATGTGATTGAAATGATGATTTGAATAAATTGTCTTATTTATTTGATGTATGACTATTGATTTTGAGCATGAGATTCTTGTGTTCCTTGCTGTTTTTGAGGGAAAGCAAGATTTTGAAGAATCTAGATTTGAGGTTCATCCGTTGAATATTCGAGTTGCTTTTGTGGTTGGGTGCAAAAATGGGATGTTTTGATCTTATTTGTGGCACATGTTGATTTCGGATGTTTTGAAGTGTCCAAAGACTAGTTTTTGTATTGTATGTGGTTGTTTTGTGGAATTGCAGGTCTAATTAGTATTAGGAATTGAGAAAGGGGTTGGTTTTGTTTAAAGAATTTATGGATGTTTTGTTGACTTACATATATAGTTTCGAGTTTGGGTTACATGTGGGTTTCATTTCAACCTTTGAGTCTTTTGTGTTGCATATATGAGTTGCTTTGGTTTAAGATTGTAGTGGGAAGATTGGATATGAGTTTGTGGTGGAAAGGAGTGAGTTTGGAAGTGTTTTAAGCCATTTTCGTGGCCTAAGACATTTGTACACTCTTTTGTTGTTTGGTGCAGGGGTTGTTTTTCGCTGCAGTTTTGTCGTGCTAGTAAGAGTGCTTTATTGACAGAATTAGCTTTTGTAGTCTTCATAAAAGTTGTAGCCTTGGATGTTATCTTTCCAACGGCACTAAAAGAATTTAAAATGAAGGTCTAGAACTCTAGCTATGGTTATTTTAGTAAACAGAGGTCAAGCTGTCAACGCTGATTATATTTGCTGCGGTTTTTGAAATTTTTAGCTAAGTAGATGATCTTTTTAGGATTTCATGTCTACATAAGAGTTATATCTTATTCTCTTATCTTTATTTTGAGATAGGTGTGAGCTTATTTGGATGAATATAGCTCTGTGTGTGTTGTTTTCTTTAACAGTTTTTGAAGGGAGATGTATGTTGTCATGATGCTTTTGAGTTGTTATGCAATGCAATGATGAAAACTGATTTTGTTATGATGTTCTAATTAGGTGTTATCACGTGGATTGAAAAATTGTTTAAAGTTGTACATTGCTATGTTGTAAAGTTGGTTCATATACATGTTATATGGTGTAAATGGTGATTGATTCATATATGTTTGGGGATGGTATATATGAATGTTTGAACAAGTATTCTAACATGATTTGATATGCATGTATGTTGATGTGAGGATAGATGATCTTGTGGATCAATTAGCGGGTGCTTGTGTGTTTAGCAAGACTAACCTTAGGTTGGAATATCATTGGATTAGAATAAAGGGTGAGGATATACCCAAGATAGCTTTTAGGAGACATTGTGGGCTCTATGAGTATTTAGTAATGTCTTTTGGTGTGACAAATGTTCCAACTATTTTTATGAATTATATGAATCAAATTTTTCATCTGTACTTGGATAAATTCGTAGTTGTCTTTATAGATGACATACTAGTTTATTCCAAGACTAGAGATGAACATGTGGAATACTTGAAGGTAGTACTTCAAACTCTTAGGGATAGAAAACTTTATGCTAAGTTTTCTAAGTGTGATTTTTGGTTAGATGAGATGAACTTTTTAGGTCATATGATATCTAGTGGAGGTATAACAGTAAATCCATTTAAGGTAGAAGTTGTACTCAAGTGGGAGATTCCTAATTTAGTTAGTGAGGTTAGGAGTTTCCTTAGGTTAGCTAGTTATTATAGGAGATTTATAGAGGGATTTACTAAGATAGTCTTACCTTTGACTGGATTGACTAGGAAATGAGTTGTCTTTGTGTGGGATAGTAAGTGTGAGATTAGTTTTCAAACTCTTCAACAGAGATTGACTAGTACACCAATATTAGAGATACATGATCTTAGCAAACCTTTTGGTAGTATACTATAATGTTTCTAAGATGGGTTTAAGAGGAGTGTTGATGTAAGAGGGTAAGGTAGTAGCTTATGTCTCTAGGCAGTTGAAAATCCATGAGAGGAATTACTCTACCCATGATCTTAAGTTAACGATTGTAGTATTCACACTTAAGATTTGGAGACATTATTTGTATGGTTCTAAATTTGAAGTGTTTAGTGATCATAAAAGTCTTAAATATATTTTTGACCAGAAGGAGTTGAATATGAGACAGAGGAGATGAATAGAATTTCTTAAGGACTATATATGATTTTGATCTTAGTTGTCATTTGGGCAAAACAAATGTTGTAGCGGATGCCTTGAGTAGGAATACCTTTCACCTATCATCTTTAATGACTAAAGAGTTGGATTTGATTGAGGAGTTTAGAGACTTAAGCTTGGTATGTGAGCTTACTCCTAGGAGCAATAGATTGGGTATGTTGGAGGTGACTAGTAAATTGAGAGATGAGGTTAGAGGAGCCCAAGAGTTCGATCCTTTCTTAATGAACCAAGTGGAGAGGATTGGTAACGGTATAAATAGCCTTTTCTAAGTAGGAGTTGATGGTGTTTTGAGGTTCAAGGATAGAATCTATGCCTAGTAATCCTGAATTTAAGAAGATGATCTTAGAAAAAGGACATAAGAGTACTCTTAGTATTCACCCAAGGGCCACTACAATGTATCAAGACCCTAAGAAGATGTTCTGGTGGCCTAAGATGAAGAGAGAGGTAGAAAAGTTTGTGTACTCATGTTTAGTATCCCAGAAGTCTAAGGTAGAACACTAAAAGCCTTTAGGATTTTTACAGACTTTAGATGTCCCTGTTTGAAAATGGGATAATGTGTCTATGGACTTTGTTGTAGGTTTGCCTAGGACAGTTAGAAAGCTTGATTCTTTTTGGATTATAGTGGATAAACTCACCAAATCTTCTAACTTTATCTTTTTTAACATTAGATATTCCTTGGAGAGATTGACAAAGTTGTATATCAGTGAGATAGTAAGGTTACATGAGATTTCCTCTAGTATAGTTTCATATAGAGACCCTTGATTTACCTTTAGAGTTCGGGAGAGTCTTCATAAGACCTTAGGTATGAAACTTAGGATGAGTTTGGCTTACCACCCACATATTGTTGGTTGGACTAAAAGAACCATACAATCCTTAGAAGATCTTCTTAGAGCTTATGTATTAGAACAGAGAGGTAGTTGGGATAGTTGTCTACACTTGATAGGATGTACCTATAATAATAATTACTATTCTAGTATTATGATGACACCCTTTGAAGCTTTGTATGGTAGAAGGTGTAGGATACTCTTGTGTTGGGTAGAACTGGGAGAGGATCTTATCTTAGGACCCAAGGTCTTGTAGGAGACTAATAAGAAGGTGAAATTGATCCAGGA